GCACTTGTGGGGCAGGTGGCAGAACCACTGAGCTAAATCCCTGGCCCACTCAGTATATGGTTTTGAAGCTACATGAGAAAAAGTCAGGTACTGATGATGGTTTGCATAAAGATATTTCAAGTCCTATTTAGAACTTGGGCATTTGACAGAAACTACTTATTGCAAACATTGTAAAAAATAACATTTTTTTCTAAAGCTTCCTCCTCAAGACCCAGAAAGCTGTTTGCTTGGACAGACAGCAAGATATTTGTATCCTCTGAATATTTATAACCTCTGAAATGTCAGCGTTGGTTCCTAGATGCTGTCAACATTGAGTTGCCTAAATCAGGCTAAAAGTATTAAAAAAAATTTTTTTAAGGGTGTATGTGGCAGCTACCAGTCATTCATTTATTTTAGAAATACAAGTTGAACACCTAACTATGAATCAGCCACTGTTCTAGGTGCCAGGTAAATGGTGGGCAGAAATCCTTGCCTTGTGGAATTTTCATTTTTGGGCTGGAGAGGGCCAGATAACAAAATAAGTAAAGCACACTGTGTTAAGTGTTACCCATGTTAGAATTTTAACTGATCACAGGACCATGTTTTTAAAATGCTTCATAAAATAGGGAAGGGTGGAGGGGGTGAAGGGAGGACAGGGAATGGGGAAAAAATAAGAACCAAGATACATCATGTACAGGTACAAGCACCCAATGATAAATGTAAACATATTGTATACCTAAAATGTACCAATAAAAGACTTTAAGGAAAAAAAGTAAAATGTTTTATAAAGCTAGAAAGAGGGATAGATAGTGCGGGGGTAGGCTTAGAATTTGAGAGTTCAGGGGCCTCTGAGAGTGTAACATTCAGGTGAAGATGGTAAGGGATTTTAAGGATCTGGAGGAAGGTTGTCCATGGCAGAGGTCACAGTTAAGTACAAAAGCCCTGAGGCCAGAGCATGTTGGCTGTTGGAGGAAAACACGGAGGGCCTGAAATGGAGAGAAGGAAGGATCTCAGGACAGGTCTTGTTGAGCCTTCAGGGAATTTAGTGATCCGTGTTCTCGGTCTGAGTCCCAGGGAAGCCATTGGAAGGTTTCTAGCAGAGGACTGAGATTCGTTTTGACAGTTCATGATGACAGGCTGGAAGCTGAGAACAATTTCTGTAGCTTTAAAAATCCAGGAGCAATAGTAGCAGCAGGGGCCGGGTGGTGGCAGCAGACAGTCAGAGCATAAAGGTTTGCTGATGGATGTGGGGTGTGAGAGAAAGGAAAGACTGGGAAAAGCGATCAGTGTGAGCAAATGAAAGACGAGTGTCCTTAATGTAGACAGAAAGACAGAGGGAGGAGTTCACAGACACAGATCAGCAGTGCCGCACTTGAGACGCCTTCCAGGTCTGGCCCTTGGGATGGAGGTGTGGGCCAGAAACCCCAAGAAAAGGCAGCACCGGCAGCAGGTACAACTCGGGTACTGGCCAAGGTCACTAGAAGAGCGAGTGTAAACAGATGGCAGGAAGAGTGCCAGCAGCCGAGCCCTAGGGTTCTCCAGAGTTGGAATCTCAGAGAGGAGGTGACCCAGCAAAGGAAACAGGAAGGACAGGTAGGGGAAGCACTTTAAAAGGGCGAGGCTTTCCAGAAGTGCCCAAGGAGAAAATGCTTCACAGGGAGGTGGGAGAGGGTGCAGACTGAAGAGTCAGGTGGAGATGAGGGAAGGAAAGAAGTAAATTCTAGTTTGGTTAGTTTAATCTTGGGACCACAAAACCTAGCCTCTCCTGACACAAATAAACAGCGCTGTTCCAGGCTCCATTTATAACCAGTAAGATAAAAAATTTCAGGAAATGAAAGTTTTACTTTCCTGAACAAGAGCTAAAGAAAACCTGACAACACAGACAATGTGTATCTCTCTGGCAGTTTTCTATTAGATAAAAAACTATTAAACCTCTGAGATATTAGCATTAGTGTAATATAGCTCTGTCCAGTAGAACTCTCTTCTTCAGGAGACTGGGCTGGAGACCCCCAGAAACATGGTTTAGCGTTGTAAACTTCGGCCTCCGGGCCAGGCAGGGACTCTCGTCCCAAGTGCAGATTCTTTGGTCTTGGCCTTTGGAATGGTTGGTCTCAGCTCAGAATGCTCTCATGAACTAGATCTTTATGAGTGCCATAGTACAAACATCTGTTTGGTCTCGGTCTCCAATTCCTCGCACAGAGCTCCTAAAATCCATACAGCGTACTGTGAAGTGGCTTGTTACGCTCTTAATCCCACCAGAGTATGCTAATGTGGTGGCTTGGGAGGGCCCCTAGAGAGCCTCAGGACATGACTGGTCAACAGAAAGAACCAGAACTGGCCTCCAACCCAACAACCTCTGTGATTTCGAAATAGAAATATGCAAGACAAACCTGGGACCCAGGTTGGGAGACAAGAAGTTGTGGTGCCTGAGAGGGCACAGCCGCCCTCATTCCCCTTTCTTGCCCTGTGCTCCTCTTCCATTTGGCTGTTCCTGAGTTCTATCCTTTATAATAAATCAGCAAATGTAAATAAAGATTTTTCTTTTGAGTTCTGCAAGTCATTACTAGCAGATTTGTAGCCAGGTTGGACAGAAGTACTGGCAACCTCTGGATCCCAAACGGGTGACTAGCATCCAAAGTGAGGGTGTCTTATGTGCCTTCACCCTCTGGAGTCTGACACGATCCTGGGGTGGTCTGACAACACCAGTATGTCGGTGTGGGGAACACTTGCCAGTGTAACACTGCTGTTCATCTTAAGCATAATTCCAAGTTTACACATGCTTTAGCACCAGAGAATGGTTCATGTAAGAGACAAGGAAATCAGAATTCTGCATAAAAGAGTTTTATTTAGGGCCAGATCCCAATGGATAATGTTAGCCATTGCTTGAGTCTGCTAAAATGTGCTGTTTGATTTACTTTTGGTTTTTTTGTTTGTTTGTTTGAGGCAGGCAGCAGAACCACTGAGTTAAATCCCCACCCCACTTGTTTGTTGTTTTTTTTTTGGTACCGGGGATCGAACTTGGGTCCTTGTGCTTTTGGGGCAGGTGCAGAACCACTGAGCTAAATCCCCTGCTCGATTTACTGTTAAGAAAGTGTACAAGTGCATCACCAAAGGGGCTTAATTTGAATTGTGTACAGTAAAATTGTGTAAATTGTGTACTACTTACATCTTTGTTCTTTGATAAAATTTGTAAAGTACAAAAATAAAAAAAGAAAACCAAAAGCAGTATTCAAAACTAATAAATGTTACCTTGGACTATGTACAGGAAGATGCCTTTCTACTAGGCAAATACTGTGTGCGAGTCTTTTCCTTCTTTCCTTACACCTCACAGGTGCTCGCTCTGCCTTCTCTGACCCTTGTGATTTCTTCCCCCCTCTCTCATGGGAACAGCTGTTTGCTCACTCGGCTTTCAGTCTCTCGAATACTTCTCCCCACACTCAGGAATGATCAGTAATTCTCACAGACATATATTGAGTACCTCAGATGCACCAGGTACTGTGCTAGGAAGAAGTGGGGATGAGGAAACATTGACCCCTCAGGAAGCTCAGGTTCTGGGATGAATTTAAGTGTTTTCTCACTTTCTAGTCCATGCAGTCCTGGGGCCCTAGGAATCCTGTTTGGGGAGTTCTCAAAACAGTTCATTTGGAGGCTCTGTCCCTTGGCCCACAGTGACCTGTGTGGAAAAGCCTGGGGCACCCGCCCTATGCTGGGGTTCTGTACTCTGGGAGTGGGGACTGCCCCTTGGGCTGTAGGGGACCAGATGTGCCATTGTGGTTTTGGGAGAGATAATCTTTTCATTTGTAAATTCCAAGTTTGAAAAGCCCTTAGGCCCAAAACTATGAGATTGAAGCAACAGTTACATGGTAAGAAAGTCTCCCCTGATTTCATTTGGAGCAAGATGCTCTGAAACGTGCGTGCGTGTGTGTGTGCGTGTGTGTGTGGTGGAACCCGGGCCTCACACGTGCTAGGCAAACACCAGCTGCACCTCCAGCCCTAAATTCCTATCTTTGTAAGCATCCAGGAGGAGTTCTTTCTCCATCTCCATAGGTTCTGATTCTTCATATTTCTCTGTCTGTCAATGTTTTCTTAGCTTCAAACATCAAACCTGAAGGTGACTTTTTTTTTTTTTCTTTTTTCATGTTTTAACCCAAAGCAAGTTCAGTTCTTACCTTTGGTCTCTATCTTCTTCGTCCATGAGATCTAGAGAGACCCATGATAATTACTTTTGTTTTTTTAAAAAAAGGTAAATCATGATCTATAAAACAAAAACTGTACATGACTTACTGTGGAAGTGAAAATTAAACCCTCCCCTCAGTGCTGCATCTTGTGCCAGGCCTGCAGACCATGTCCCTGTGCATGTTCACATCTGCAGGGCTTTCTCAGGCACAGCAATTCAAGTCCCCATCACGGCTGCAGCTTCCCTCACACATGCTGTTGTAGGTCCCTTTCCCTGGGGCCACACAGCCCGCTGCTGAGTGATGGTGAAGAGAGTTCATAGGAAAGTTCTGTCCGTGCCTTTTTTCAGGCTATACGGGGTCACTCCTCCACCCAGCGTCCATCCAGGCAGATGACACTGATTATCCACTCAAGGGCTGCCATAACTTCCTCGGGTGTTTGTTCCAAGCCCTTTGGACCTGAAGGCAACTTAAGGAGTTGGTATCATCCCATGTCATGTCCGGCCTGCCTATTCCACTGGAGGGAGGTCACCATGAGGCACAGGAAGAACGTGGGGAGAGTGAGGCATCCTGGGATGGGCAGGGGACAGAGGTGACCATGCACAAGCTTCTGGCTCTGTCGTGCATATATTTTCAGTGTAACAGCATGTATTTTGACACACAGGGCTTGTGCTTTTCATTCAAGAAACAACTTGCCCTACAAAGCTCATTTGGCAAACGTGGCCATGAACGTGTGTGTGTGCGTGTGTGGAGTGTGTCATGAGGCTATGTCACTTCCTGTGAGTGTGCCCTCCTGCCCCTCTCCCGCCACCACACCCACCTCACCAACAAGGACAGACTGACAGACTACACCTGGTCGGTCTGATACTCGGAGGCTTCGGACAGACTTTCGGAGAAGCTCAGGAAGTTCTCCTGGTACTCAGAACACACGATCTCGTAGCGGTAGTGGCGGAACTCCACGGCGAAGGTACCGAAGTATGACAGGAAGCACATGACCAGGCCCCACTGCACCCGGGCTGCATACATGTGGATGTCCTGGGCCATGAGGATGAAGTCTAGGGAGAGGCTGTCAAGGAAGGGACCTGTATCCATGACAGACTGTCAGCTGTGCCCTCACTAGCAAAATGGGACCTTCACAGCACTGGCTGAGCGCTGATGGTCACAGGAATGACACTGGACAGCAACACTGAGCTCTTTGTGCCAGACCTGCTCCTTGGTGCTTTCAGGAACAATCTCTTAATGCCTCCAGCAATCCCCTTCTCATCAATTTTATAAAAATAACGAAACCCAGGGCAAGGGGGCAACCTGCCTGTGGCCGCTCACGCAGGTAGCTACAGGTAGAGGGGGGTTTGCCCAAGCACTGTGACTCTTGACCTGGCCTGTGTTCAACTGCTGCACTCTAGCACAGTGCAGCAGCTTGGTTAGCAAAGGATTACGACTCCAGACCAACTGGTGTGCCAGAAAATCAAGCCAGCTCCCAGGAAATCACTGCAGATGGCTACAGGTTCATAGTTACATCTGCAGAAATAATTCTGAGCATATGAAATTGCTAACTACCTCCATCTAATCTATATTTGACAGGAGTGCTACAAGTAGTGTCTGCATGGGCCCCTTTCCTCTTTTCATTTTCCATTTTTTTTGTCCCAGCAGTACTACATAGGTTTTTTTCAGTTCTGATATCACATTAACACTCGACCCCAAATAAAAATGGGCCATTAAGGTAGCTAAAGAAACAGATGAGTCCTATTGCTGAGTGTGTATGGAGTGTGTGTGCATGTGTGTGAACATGTACACACAATGGTATGTATGGAGGAAAAGGAGCTGGAAAAGGGCAGAGTTCATAGCATGTTTTGGGTTTTTTATTTTGTTTTTTTTGAGACAGGGTCTCACTATGTAGTTGAGGCTGGCCTTCAACTCACTGTGTAGCCCAGACTGGCCTCAAACTTGGCAGTGATCCTCCTGCTTCAGCCTCATGAGTGCTGGGATTACAGATTTGCACCACCATGCCCAGTCCATAGTATGTTTTAATGAAAGGCTTAAACACTATAGTTAGAATTAGTTCTGTCTGCAGAACTCATACCTAAAATCTTGGGAGGATTTTTTGTTTGTGTTTTTGTTCTGAGTCAGGGTCCTACTATATAGTCCATTGATGGCCTTGAACTCATGGGAATCCTCCTGCCTCAGCGTCCCAAGTGCTGGGATTACAGGCATGCATCACTAGGCCCAGCCATATGGAAAGTTGTTCAGAGAGGTGAAACTACTTGTGTCCACTTGCTCTCTTGACCAGACCTGAATCTATTCACTCTGGGAACACGAAATGGTTGGAGTGTTCAGAAACAATGGGGATCAGAACTGTTTGGTATAAATTCAAAACTCAGAATAATTGAAAGTCTGTGTGTACTCTTCTGGTGGAGGGTTCGAAATATTCCCAAAGCAACATTGGCTTACTACTTAAGTTGGTGGGGAATGAATAAATCTTCCATCCCATCCTGGCAGGTTCAACTTTTTCGATCGTAAAATATTTTAACAATTGCTAGCAAGAAACAAATTTTCTAGCATGAATTTTAAGTCCTTAAATGTTCTGTATACAACATGACTGCAGAGCTTTAGCAAAACAGTAAAACCATTGAATAGCAGTTAGGGAAGAAATAAAAGACTCCAAATGCTCCACTAACAAGACAGTTTTGAAAGCTAAATGTTTCTGTATTTTAAAGCCACTTTCTCAGGGGGCAGGGGGTAGCACAGTGGCCAAGTGCCAGAGCTGAGCCCATGTTTAAGTCCTGACCCACTGCATCCTGGGTCATCTGTGGGGCCCCGGGCAAATTAACATGTCTGTGAGTCACTATTCTTACATTGTTAAGTGAGAATTAAAAGACCTGATACATTGAAAGGGTTTGGAAATAATGCATATCACATGGTAAGCGCCCAGTAAATGCTGATGCTTGATTATGTGGTGTGGTGGTTTGCAACTGTAATCCCAGCTACTTGGGAGGCTGAAGCAGGAGGATCCCCAGTTTGAGACCAGCCTGGGCAACACAGCAAGTTCAAGCACAATGAGACCCAGTGGGTGATAACACCATGTCCAGCCTCTCAGGGATTTATTTGCCTGGGGTTAAGTGGAGTGAAGCGCTCTAAGCCTTCTGGTTTTTCTGCTGTTACTGGGTGGGTTAGGTAAATTCTAGGATGAGGCCTGCAGCACTCTTTACAAGTTTATGAGCAATAAAGGTTGATTTCTTTATCCCTGCCTGGCTCCTCATGTCTGTTCTCAATTGGTTCAAACTCTGAGAGGAAGCAAGGAACTGAATAGTACTCCCAAACCTCCAATATTTGTTTCAGAAAAATATATGCTGTGATAAAGCAGTTCTTAAACTTGTTTTTCAAAAGAGCTTATTTTCCTGAATGATACAAACATCTCTGTCCCTTGAAATTCTTTTTACAGGTAAAAAATTTAACATAATAGGACTTAATAAAAATCACAAATGAATTTTTTTTTTTTTTGGTACTGGGGATCGAACTCGGGTACTTGTGCTTGCGAGGTAGGCGGTGAAACCACTGAGCTAAATCCCCGGCCCATGAATTTTTTTAAACAGAGGAAAAATAATCAATTCTCTTTTGGTTATATATCCTATGTTTTTCACAAGGGAAAACTTATGTTGTTAATGACAGAGGATTCCGTGATGCCATTTCTACAGGTGGGAAGAGTCTTGACAAGAATTTGTATTATTTTCAGTTCTCCATCTCTCTGGCATAAAAGACTGGTCTGAGAGTTTTTGTTTTTTATGCTCACTCTTTTCCAATTTGTGTTAAGATTTGGAGATGATCTGACTGTTATCTGAAATGGCAACTGTCTCAGCTTTCACACAGACAGCTTATCTGTATTTTAATCCCCCTGGGGAAGAACCTTTTCAAAGTAAAGGATACAGAGGACGACACAGAGAGTGATGGACGCAGACAGAATCACCCGTGAGATTCCAACTTTCCGTCCTTCATTCTTGATGTTGACTTTGAGTGTTAGGGCAGCCTGGATCCAGCAGGTCAATGTGCCAAATCCAAAGGTCAAGGATGTTCCCACGTTGTGGATTTCTTCATCATTCACGAGCTGGGGATGAACAGAAAATGGCATTTGTAACCCATTGAAAAAAGAAGACACACAAGCCGATAGGATGTGTGAGGGGGAGGGATCAGCCATGGGCTGACAGCACTTGGAAAGATCAGAGTCCTCCATCTTCCTTGGCTCTTCATGTCTATCCTCAAAGAGTCTGAACTCCCCAAAAGGAAGGGAAATTCGTAGCACCCAGACCTTAGAACACAGGTTTAGCAAAGCCAGGCAGGCAGTGGTGATCTAGCCCTTGAATGTATTTCCCAGAAAAGCTCTTTGGGAAAGGAAAAGAAAAGCAGCCCAGGCATTGCATAAGAAGGGAAATGTCAAAGTTTCTACAAGCACATGTCCCACACTTTGTTTTCCAGGCTAAGAAAATGAGAGCAAGGATTTGGCTGTGTGCTTGCTGACAGATGGCCAGTTCTGGGCAAGTCTAGATTTGATTGTCACAGACAGTGAATACCCCATGGGCTGTTCTTACTCCTACAAAACTGGCCTGTGGCCAATTCCTTGTTAATGGAAATTCTTTGGGTTTTATTTTCTTATAGTAATGACAAAAACTGCCTCCTATGCACTTCTGCCACATCTCGAGACTCACTGAAGACGGCCCAGGCAAGACTTCTATAGAGTCGCCAGGTTAAATGAGGCCCTCTTGGGTTACTGCACTTGGGGTGAGAGAGGAAAAATCCCCAGTCACTACTCACTTAATTTTTAAAAATATATGTTGTTTTAAAACTCCTTTGGTAATTACATGTATATTTTAATTGCACAGGAAAATAAAACCTATTGTTAAAGAGATACCTTTTAAACCAAGATAAAAGTACTGATTTAAAAAAAAAATTCCCATCACCTACTGATGTTTTATTGTTTGACATTGTGCATAATTATTGGGTCAAACCAATATTATTGTTGCTTGATAGTTTTCTTCCCCACTGATTTTGGTTCTTGGTGTTATCTCTACCCTTAACCTCCACTTTTTGGGAAGAAATCACTTTTTCCCCTCATAATTTGAAAGATTTGTTTTCAAAGTATATTTAAATGATTCCTCAAATTAAATTTCACTTCTAGAAAATTAGTTTTCCATGCTATATACAGCTTTATTACCTAATTTTAAAAATAGGTAATATAGCTCCATGGCTTAAACTTTACACAATTATGAAAAAGAGTATAGACCAAAAGGCCTGTCTCCTAGTCCATACACCTAGTTTCTCCACAGGCAGGTGATGTATCTGGTTTTGGTTCACTCCCTGTGGCTAATCCAGCATGGGTTCTACATATGCAGTCAGAAGTCACAGTCTGAGTATCTGTGTGGTTCAACCCAATCTCTGGGATTCTCCTAAGACTTCAGTTTTTTATGGTCTCAATAGGAAGTGTCCCTCAGGGAATCGTATGAGGGGCTTGATCCCTGGTGCAACAGTGTTCAGAGGGGGCACCTGGAGAAGTAGCTGCATTGCGAGGGCTTTAGAGATCATAATGTGATGTATTACTGGGAGGTGACAGAAACAGGGATGCGGCCCAGTTGAAGGGAGTGGATCATGGGGGCATGGATGTGGGGATTAGGTGGTCCCTGGCCCTTCCCTTTTCTCTCCTCTCTCCCCTCCCCTCTCCCCTCTCACTCTCTCCCTCTCCTTTCTGAGCAGCCTTCCTCCACCACACTCTTCTGCCATGATGTTTCTACTGTGGAGTCAGTTGACTATAGACCAGAACTGTGAGCAAAAATAAACCTTTCCTCCTTTGTTTTTTCCAGGTGTTACGTCAGAGCAACAGAAAGCTGACTGACATGTTAGTATAGAACTTTCATCTAACACTCCCCACAGCCTCAGGGCAAAGAAATGGCAGGGCTGGGCACATCCCAGCAGGCTGCCTCACATGCAGGCAGGTGGGGATGGGGGAACCCACCTGGGTGCCCAAGCATCCTGAATCTTAACAGGATGAACTCCCACCACTCTAGCCAGTATGTCAGAAGAATGAAGCTTTCTGGGGTCCAGCTTGATACGCAATGGGATTTGGAACCATTAGTGGGATTTGTGGGAGTTCTTATCAACTCATGAAGAAACAAGATTTCTTATTTAGTTACTACTATGTGCCCAGGGGAAGCCTTGGAGACTCAGTGATCCAGGTTTAATGAATTAGTAGGACAAAGGGTTAAGACAAGAGGCGATCTTAGAAAACTCATTACCACATTTTCAGTAAGAATTTTACTGAAAACATTATCCACCAGAATACTGAGGGGTGTGTGTGTGTGTGTGTGTGTGTGTGTGTGTTACTAAGGATTTAACCTGGGGTATTCACACTGAGCTATACCCCTAGCCCTTTTTTATTTTTTAATGAGACAAGATCTCACTGAGTCACTAAATTGCCCAAAGCTGGATTGAATTTGTGATCTGTCTCAGCCTTCCAGAGTGCTGGGATTACAGATATGCAAAAATGCACCTGGCTTAGAAGTCTGCAGGTCTTCAGTACCTAGCCCATTTGGAATTCATTTAACAGATGGGGAGCAGGGTCAGGATCAGTGTTTGCTTAAAAAAGGAGAAAGCTATTAGCAGAAGTATACATGGTGTGATTGAAAAATAGAGCGGGTGTTTAAATTTTAAAAAATGTATTACTGTAAAGACACATTGCCATTAACCCCCCTCTCAAAATAGTCCCCCTCGCTTCAAACACACCTATTCCATTGTTCTTGCCACTTTCTAAAGCAGTTCTGGAAATCTTTCATAAGTGTCTAATTGTCCTATCACAGATGCCTTCGTGTCCTGAATCAATTCAAAATGTTTCCCTTTTCTGGTCATTTTGGGGAAGAGCCAGGAGTTGCATGGAGCCAGATTTGATGAATAAGGTGGATGAGGACAGACTGTCATGTTTCTATGAGGCTGCCTTTCCATTGGATGATATATGGCAGCAGCATGAACCATATTTATTGATCATGCCTGCCTTGTTAAACACACTCACAAGAGGACTTCCAGAACTGCTTCAGAAAGTGACAAGAACAATGGGATAAATGTATTCAAATCAGGAGAGGGGGTCATTTTGAGGGGATAAATGGCAAAGTGTGTTTTACTGTAATATATTTTTAAACCTAAGCATTCACCTTATATTTCAGACACATCTTATATATGACATGGGCTGGAGGGTCATAAAGGAAGTCACCAGAACAAGGGAAGGGCAGTGATACTGGCAGAGAAATTATCCTTGCAGGTTGTGGCCCTGGCATTCTAAATTCCTAGAAGACTCAGAAGAGCTTTATATGAGTCACAGGTGTTCCAGACTTTCAGACTTGACGTCCTTGGGGGCTTGCTAATCTGAAATACAAGCGTCCTCAATTGAGGATGTTTGGTGTTTAATTATAATAGGGCAATGATCCTATTCCTTTTCTAGAAAGGTACGTTAGGGCACAGTTTATTATGAAGAAAAGTGTAACCCACTATGAGACCCTTTGGAGAGAACAAATGGCTCTTGTAGCAGCTACTTTTCCCAGCAGCAGCCACACTGCAAGTCAGGTGTGCAGCCAGCCACACTCATAGTGGACGAGAACAGGCTCAGAGTGGACCCTGTGGAAACTAAGACCCAAAGTTCATCACTGGTTTTCGGTCCTTGCATATGGCCCTTTTCAGGCTCTTGTATATGGGCCACCTGGCGAGTATACCTCAGTGGCTTCAATAATCATACAAGTGAAGGTCTCACCAGTGTGAAAGGGAGGTGGAAAAAGCCAAGTGAAGTACCTGAAAATTACCGAGTAAGGTCATTCCAAAGGAAGCCAGACACAGTGCCACCAATCCACTAATATTCAGCCATGGGTTTAAAACCTTTGGTTTCAGTTGTATGAAGCGCAGAACAGCTACCACCAGGGCTAGGAATAAAGCAAAAATCTTAAAATTATAAAATTTAAGTCAGACACCCAGACTGTGAGGCAGAAAGCCACGACATGCAAAATTAAATTTCTGGCCACAGTACATCTTACATCTCTGAAATGACATTTTTTCACAGAAACTTTCCACGTGGAGCACAGGATTACTTAGCTGTTGGATCACACAGTGCCTGGGGGAGCAAAGAGTACAGCAGCCCAGCAGCAGCAGTGCTGTGTGGGCCAGGGTGACGCAAAGGTGCAGGCCAACGGGACAGGTCGGCTTCGGAGACACTGCAGGGTGTGGCACGTTACACACATGCTGGAGACAGAGGTGAGCACAGTCCAGAGTCCACTCAGTAGCCCTTTAGCTCAAGACAGGGCAGAAAGACACTTGAAAGAGGACAGGGTCACATCTGGACAGAACTGCAGTCTCCAGGCGAGACCATGCCCAGTGTGGGAAGGAAGGGAAGGAAACCAGAGAGTCCCTTTGAGCTGGGTCTGCTCCCTCTGCCCTTCATCCTCCCACTGGTGTTCAGTGTCAAAGGACAAGGCCAATCAGAATTAGAGTGGTTGGAGCATTCACAGTTAGAAATCGGTATTTTAATACAGCACATTTGAGGGGTGGAGGTAGTACTAAAAATCATATACCAAGAAATTCTTTCAAATGATAATTAACTCCTCATTTTATTTTATTATTTTTTTATTTTTTGGTACCGGGGATCGAACTCGGGTCCTTGTGCTTGTGAGGCAGGCGGCAGAACCACTGAGCTAAATCCCCGGCTCCTGTTTTATTTTTTTAGTTTATTTTTGTGGCACCAAAGATTGAAGCCAGGGCCTTTGTACTGAGCTATATTCCCAACCCTTTTTATTCCGAGATAAGGTTTCACTAAGTCACTAAGTTGTCCCCGCTGGGCTTGAAGTTGTGATCCTCCTGCCTCAGCTTCCTAGAGTGCTGGGATTACAGCACTTTGAGATTACAAAGTGCTGAGATGACACCATATCCAGCCCTAATGATATATTTTAAAAGGTTGCTCTATCTTTTGAAGCAAATTGGTATCTGAGAATTTGGAGAGAGATGGGGAAAGTTACTTAGATTTCAAACCTGACTTCTAATAGTAACAGTCCACACTCGAGACACTAATCTGTCACCTTTTATTAATAGTTTAGTGAAGAAATATTTTCATATTTATACAAAAAGCTGGGAGCCAGTTAACAAATGATGAAAGGCCATTTGCAACTAATATAAATTATATCTACATATAAAGAAATCCAGGTACTACTTCCTAAGATGATTTACTTTGACATTAAGGTTCAGCAGGAAGACAATTTGAAATTCAAGAATTACCCTATTTACATAGCAATTAAATTGATAATTATTCTATTTTTAAGTTGGTAGTTATTCACTAATGGTTTTACCTTGATTACAGGCCCTTATTCATAGCCATTAATTAAAAAAAAACCTATCCATAAATTTGCATTTCCCAAGTGTGCTGAGTTTCATAGCTGCAAGCTATAAATTAAGCACAGTGAGGTGACATCCAGTTCCAAGTACCAGTGATCAGTAAATGATATAAAAATTGATTCATACTTGGATTTTGGAGCCAAAATACAGATAAACCATGATTTTGGAAATCTCAGATTATTCAACCCTGTACAGTTTTTAGCCTATTTCAGCCACTGCCCACTATTGATCAGAAAATGAGTCAATTATACTTAAGTTGACAACAGTTTCTCAAACAGTTGGCTTGAGGGACCTAGTCAGCGGAAGTCTATCAATGACATGACTGTCCTAGTGGATGCATAGGGTCTTATTAAATTTTAGGATGTGCTAGGCATGGTGGTGCACAATTGTAACCCCAGAACTTGGGAGGCAGAGGCAGCAGGATTCTCGCAAGTTTGAGGCCAGTCTGAGCTACACAGTGAGTTCAAGGAGAGCCTGAACTACAAGTGAGACTATTTCACAAAATTTTTTTAGGATGGCATAGGAGGGAAGTGGGGAGAAGTAATTCAACATCCAGCAATAACACCAAGTGGTCACCTGATGAAGGGCCCATGAGACGAGGACCAGAGAGAGCTGGACTTGCTAATTAACTCTACGTGGCTCTTAGGGAATAGTGACAAAGTACCAGAGTGGCACATTCCATTTCTCTTACAAATGATTAGTGAAGAGTATTATCCTGGGAACTCTGCTGGCCATTTAATTTTTTTCTTTTTTCTTTTTTTTTAAATTTTTGAGACAGAGTCTCACTATGTAGCCCAGGCTGGCTTCAAACTTGCAGTGATCCTCCTGCCTCAGTCTCTTGAATGCTGGGATCACAGGTATGAGCCAGCACACCTGCCTGGCCATTTAATTGTGAGATAGGATCATGCTCGAATTTTGGCCTGCGCCCTAAAGCCTGTCCCTGATACAGCTCCACACATGGATCACTCAGCCAAATGGTCTGCTGTTTTATGCACAAGAGAAAGGAGTTGGTGGTCACTTTCTGTGCTATCCATTTCTTACTGTCAACATGGGACTGATAGATTTCCCTCCGATTTAGGGTGGCTGCTATATATAATAGCTGCCTTCTTCTTCCCATAATGCCCTGCTCCCACCTAAAGCCACCCCCAGATGGCTTCCCCCACCAAAGCACAACCTTCTTCCCAACATGCCCCTATTCCTGCCAAAAGAGTAACCTAATACTTGCTCTCCTCCTAACAACTGGTGATGTCACAGGCTCCTCCAGTCCCTAGCCACTACCTCACTTAACCCCACCCCAGCTCCTACAAGCCCAACCCCAGCTCCTATAAGAAGTGCTCCCTGTCCCGGCCATGTTGCTTTTGTCTCCTTTGTTCAGAGACAGCCCAGCAGATCGTCCCTGCAATAAAGGCTTGTTGTGGCCTGGTCTGGTCTTGGTTTTTGGCTCTTTACCTGACAGGGACATTTATCATGTCTTGGTCCCAGCAGTGCCAACTTTCCTATTTGTAATATGGGTGATACAGTTTAGACCCAGAATGTCCTCCAAAAGCCTTATGTGTGTGAAAAATGTGGTGGTATGCTCATCAGTGGATGAATCCAATGATGAATCTATAGCTAAATGTGATGTTAGGAGGTGGGGCTTGATCAGAAGAGGTGGGTCACTGGGGCATGACCTGGAATGCTGCTTCCTGGCTGCCATGATATGAGCAGCTTTCCTCTACCCAGGACATTCAACCATGCTTCTTCTTCCTTGGAGCCCACTGACCATGGACTGAAACTTCTGAAACCGTGAGCCCAAATAAACCTCTCTTCAAGTTATGGGTGCTGGCTACTATATCTCAGCAGTGAGGAAAGTGATGAAGACAGTGGGTGACAAGTCACTTTATCATGAACAGGTGATGAAATTACACAGGAAACAGGAACCTGTCTGCAGACCATGATTCAACCCAGCACTCCTAACTTCCAGAGTTGCATTCCACATAACCACACTTTGTCCTTTTTATCTATTAATTCCATTATTAATTAGCTCATACGAGGCAGTATTGCCTTTTATAATAAGTTCTAGTTAACAAAATGGTGGAACTGAAGAAGATTCAGGTCCTATAATAGTTTTATTGACTCTTAGATTTGAATGGAGGCAGATTCAGACTATATGTTATGAAGCCCATATTCAGCCAAGCAGTGATTGATTTACACTGTGCTGAAAGATTTCTGGGCAATGGGGAAATTTCAAAGGTATCTTTATAAGTGCTGACTGGCTTTTGCCAAGTTCACTTTCTGATCAATGGATATACTTTGTAGTTCCATTAAAAATTTTAGATTTTACCAATAGCTGGCTTTAGAAAAGGTTTTTAAAACCTACCCTTCTGCTATTTTTGGTATGTATTATAGCCCTTTGCTATACAAATGTCCCCTATTTAATTTTCCTATTTTAAAAGCAAACAAGGAGAAAAATTGCTGGTTTTCTAGATTAAAACATTTTTTAAAAAAACGGATTGGGCTTTTAAAGTTCAGGACTCAGACTAACCTCTCTTCACTGCAGATCTAAACTGGTGGGTGGCCAAAGTCTTTTTTGTTTTGTTTAGTTTTACTGTTTATGCATCAATAATTCCTATTTGACTGCAGTACAACACGACAGTCAATATGTTTTGGCTGATGGAGGGAGAGCAGCTGCTATTAGGTGACTGAAATCATTCAGCTATTAGCTTTATCCTCACAACCTCCCCAGGGCAGGAAATAATATTTCTTTCAAGAAATTTGTCTTAGGTCCTTCCCCACCCTACCTCATCCCCGCCCCGCCCACACCACCACCCCAGAAGTATGGATTCAGGACAAACAGCAGAATGAATTCTGTAAAGAAAATAATTGAGCCTTCAATCTTTGATTAGCCTGTCAAAAAGATAAAAGATCTTTGCCAACTAATTTTAATAAATGCTACCCTGACTCATTTTTAGGTTATAAATTAAAATCCGTACAGCTGTCCCAAAGCAGTGACTTACAGGCAGCCTGGGCTATTTCTTAAAGCCAGCTATGTAGTCTAAAGTAATAGTCTGAGGTCTAACAGAGATAGGCCTGGGGAGAGGAAAACATCCACGGTGCAGAACAAGAACCTTTAGTAATGGATTCTTTTGCACTCCCCAAGTTGATAAATAAGTAATTGCTGGTTTGCTCCCAGTGAGCACTAATCTTAATCAGCTTTGTATCTACCAGATGGCACTCGAGATGATGAGAAATAATAAAGAGTAAACACTGGGTGTCGCAATACCTTCCAGCGAGAGCTGGTAAAAGCTTAATTGTTTCTCAGTGGAGCAGGAAGAACTGGAGAATAAGATGATGACAAATGTCATATGGAAGAGGGAACTTGCTTTCATTTCTTTATATTGGAAATGCTTTTATAATTAGTTAATCATAAGCTTCATAGCTAGATAAACCCATGAGCTGTGCAAAGTGACGTTCTTTAGATTATGCACTAAAGACTACTGGGAAATATTTGTCCACACAACACAAAGGAAAGAATATGTAGCTTCCAACACGTTCACTGGTT